CAATAACGAGTTATGGAGTCCCATAGAACAACCGTTAGGTGATGATACGAGAGAAGGATATAATAGGGAGGAAAACAGGTAGTAATTGCGACGAAGCCTGGGGTTAGATAATACTGTCGATTGCGGATGTCCGGATAGTCCGGAATCCGAGATTCGTGGTTTATGGCCCATTGGAAATCGCCCCCGCATGGTCGATCGTTCTCAGTTTGACATGGGTAGTCAGGATTCCGTGAGTTTCGTCGTCGCCTAAGTTGTTCGCTCTCCCAATACATTCGATACTCTGAGTTTCTTAGGCTCTCGCGGTCGGTGACCCAGAAGGGAATTTCCACCGCCATATCCTACTAAATGAATGGTAATTACATTCATTTCCTGACGGAGCGATAGCGCAGCTGGGCTTATACAAACGCGCGTGTATGTTGCAGACTCCGGTGCCGGACTTGCTGTTATACACGGGTGCTTGTGCAGGCAGACTGCTCAGGTCCTATCTTGTCGCACGAATAAGCCGGTGGTAGTCGCTTTTGCCCGTGCGTCGGTCTTTCCCGTATCCATATAATTATGCTTCTCATGCAACCATCACCATTCCAAGTGAGATCCAATCATCACATACGTGTCCATACCATCATGCAGCAGAGAAGCGATTGTCCAGCATTAAGGACCAATACATCAGATCATTCTTGTAATCATGCATGCACTAAGAGCAAGTGGTCAGGCAAGGCATGCGCACCGGGCGTATCCGGCCCGATCCGGGGGAACCGACCTCGCGGGTCGCTGTGCACGCAGCGCAAATGGCTTAACAGAACAAAATTGGAAATAAAAAACAACTCGGGAAAGGAGACACGAGTTCGTTCATCGGCATGCATACATACATACAAAACGTAAAACCTGAGATGACTGACAAAGAAATATGAAACTGCCGCAACAAAGTTGGCCAACGTTAGAGTCAAAACTTCACAAAAGGTGGGAAGAAAGACATTGCTCCACCATATCCCCGTTCCTCTCTCTCTCTCTCTCTCTGTCTCTGCAACTTTCTGGTGTGGGCTGTCCGTCGCCCCGCACCTCCAAACCATACAGAGTCGTCACCCCGCTTGGCCTGAGCATGCAAGTCAGGCTCGCCCGCGTGCCACAATCCTTCGCGGCCACGCGTCAACCCTGCATACCTAGCACCAACTCGTCCCGTCGCCCGACTCTCTACTCACCGTCTTTATGCTCATTAGTCGATCCTCTCGACCGCGTTAACTCCCAAGTAGATTAGAGAGCCAATTAATCGCGCTTGGAGAATTTGTAGCTTGTGCATCCGCGCACAATAACCGGGATTGCCAGAGAGGAATAGGAGAAAGGAAGGAGGCAGGGCCTATGGGTTCATGGCTGGGCCGCGACGTGGGGGACGTAGCCTTACTCCACGCTTCGATCCAGTCATGCACCGATCTGGCCAATGAGATAAGGAAGGAAGAGCGCACGTAGCAACACAGGAAAGAATATCAAGAAATGAGATATTACAATTACATCTGCGTAGGCAAAGAAAGAGCAAGAAGAAATTACAGTTGAGATTGAAATTTAGGCGCGGCGGGAACCGAGCGCAGGCCCACGCGCAGCAAAGCGCACGCAAGCAGGAAGCGATGTGCAGTTACAGGCAAAAATTACGAGGCACCCAATTTTCTAGTCTAATTAAGGTCCTAATTGCAAAAAGGAATTCCGAGAACCCGTGCGGGCTCATCCCGAATTGAAAAATTATGAAGGAATTCCCTGCACGATTGTCTCGCCAAAAAGACGGACTTCTGTTGAAAAAGAAAGAAAAGAAAGAAAAAGGACATAGCAGACATTGTTCCCCGACGCTCACTAAGGCGCGAGCCAACTTCCCCGAAGTTCCTAACCACCGCCTCCCTTCTGTCGAGGGACCAAGAAGAAAACCAAAAACGAGGGACTCCCATGCAATTTATCCCCGACCCCCTCCATGCACCCCAATCCCAGTTGAGCAAAAGATAGCGCTTATTAGAAAAAATTTCGTCAGAGTACGGAGTTATTGCTTACAAACCAAGTACTAAAACTATGTCAAACGAAATTCCACTGACAACTGAAATTTATGAAGGCAGACCAGGAAACGACTGAAAACACCCAAGAATAAGACCAATGACAAAGTAACTCGAAAGTCATGAAGAAAATGGAATGTAACTTCGAATTTGAGTTAATTAAAGTCCAAAATAAGAGTAGTCGATGTAACTAAAGTATGAGTCTCTCCATGTATAGTGGCGCAGTTTCACCCAGTCGCCCATACAATCCGTGCCCGTCGCCCTACAGGTCATGTCTTCACGCTCTCGGTTAAGATGGTCATTAATACTCCGTACATGCTCCTTAGAACAACAGTCCCACCGCTGCCAGTTGCCCTCCCACTGCTCCTGGAAGTGCCGCTGTTTGACTCACCGTTCGCCAAGCACTAGAACCTCTCTCCCTTCTTCATGCAGTTTGCAATGTATTTAGCCCATAAATGGACACAATACCGCAGTAGATAACACTTGAATTCTGAAGGTTGAAGGTCGTAGGAGGGACGGGAACCACCCTGCTCCCCGATATTCCACAGAGAGGCGCAACACTTTATCAAGGCTGAGGGCGATAACCGAACCTAGAGAGTACCGAGTACTGCATAGCTCCGCCCCCACACCCCGAATCCCGTGCCTTGCTGCCGACGCAGAGCCCCGCCGTCTCCGAACGACGATACCATCGATAGCGCAGCGTTGTCCCCCTCCGCGCACCTTTCGAAATTTTTCAAATATTATCATGTATGTTAGTCATGAAGTAAACCACTCATCCGAAGTATTTAGCAGGGAAAATGGTTAGGTTAATGTACTCGTAACATTTCGTGTAATAGAATGTCTTGGTTAATGCTCAACGCCCTTAACCCCAACGGAGACGCTCGCACTACCACCAGAGGAACTCCCACTCCCATTGGTGGCACAGCTGCCTATCGAGCTTCGGGTCTTTCACGCTCCCAGTCGAGATAGTCAACAGTAGTTCTCATGTGCTCCTCGCAACACCAGTCCCACCACCACCGGCTGCCCACCCACTGCCTCCAGAGGTGCCACTGTTGGATGTGCCCGCTGTCTCGTACTAGACTCTCTCCCTTCGTCGTGTTCACACTGGCATGAGTTTCATTACTTGAATCTTGTAGATTATCTGTTGTAGGAGGAACCGGAATTGGCCTGCTCCCTGGTATTCCACAGGGAGACACAGCCCCTTGTCGGAGCTGAGGCCGATGGCCGAACCTAGGAATCGACGAAGAAGACATCGTTCCGCCCCACACCCCGAATCCCACACCTCGCTGCCGGCGCAGAGCGTTGTCGTCTCTGGACAGCGAGTACGCTCGGTAGCGCAGCGCTACCGGTCCTCCCGAGCACTTTTGGGCGGGATACACAGCAGAATGACCGCGAGGCCCACTCGTTTCGTTTTCGTTTCATGTGTCGTGCGGTGAGACCCTATCTGTTGTCGCTAGGTGACGGGGGCGGTGCCCGAACACCAAGCCACAAAGATTGGACCCGGCTTCCAGCAACAGATTGATTATACTTGAGCAGTGGGTGGGTCTTCGAGCTTGGCTCGTAAGCGAAACTGGCAGAGGGCCTCGTTCCACTACTCGCCATCCGCCACAAACAGTGGCGAGACTTGGCGAGTCCGAAAAGTGCATTCTTCTGGCGGAAAACGGCTCTTGGTTCCATTACATAGCCGCCGCCACGTGCCCTGTGGTTGCTGTCCCGGCCTGCTCCCCGGACTGTGGCGGATGGCGGGCTAATGGAACCGTCGCGGCCTTCTCTTCACCTTCTCTTCACCATGTACTCGGACTGGAAATCCCTCCAGGTGCCACGGAAACTTGCCAACACTAGGGGACAATGCAGGTCGACTATCAGGACCACTGTGTCAGGGGCAATGGCCACACGAAGCATTTCGCGGAGGGGTGAGGAGTAGCGCCCTCCACGGAGGGCCGTTGCAGGCAGGGGAAATGGAAAGCCTTGGCGACACATCGCCAAGTGATTTCAGACCCAAATTCTGACTGCGTCCATTTCATGGCTATTGGTGGTGCAGCGCAGACCCAAATTCTGACAGAGTCCATTTCATGGCTATTGGCGATGCAGTGCAGACCCAAATTCTGACAGAGTCCATGTCATGGCTATTGGCGATGCAGTGGAAAGAAGTCGCATCCGCTATGCGTGGCGGATGGCGAGTAGTGGAACGAGGCGCTGAGGCTGCCAGGATAACTCCGGGTCGAATTGTGAGGTCCCCGGCCTCTTTTTACTGGCTTTGTAATAAAGATTGAATGTTTCCAAAAAAACAAAACAAAACAAAAAAGCCGCAAAGATCTTCACGTCCACGCTGTCGCCCCTCGGGATAGCAGGATCGAGCGGAGAGCGGGGAAACGGAAAACGGATCGCTGATGGTTGAATAACCAAATACCCGGTTGGCTTGTGCGCGCCAAGACCACCAAGGAAGGAATTGTAACCGACCCGCCCATCAGATTCACCGTTAGATTTAGCCAGATAAGTTTTAGGTGTGAAAAGCGCCTCGCCACACCACTCTCGAAATGTGAAAGAGACAAAATTGTGGAGGGTGCATCTGGCCATGATCTAGGAGTAAGTTCATTCTCCATTTCGCAAATTTCGCGAGTGTTCTGGTTTCTACTCTCATCTCGTGAGAGCGGGGCCCAGTCACGGTAGTGTTCAGTGTTTTTCTTCACTGGTTTTCAACGCCGCCAGGTCGTGAACCCCGCCACTATCATTCATGCATGCCACCATTCGTGGGGAACTCTCACATGCACAAAGTTGGCCCTCGCTGCAGTACTCTCTACATGCACAAACGACAGAAAAGATGGCAATGTATCTTTCCATGTTCTATCGGTGAATTCGGTCTCGTTTTGTTCTTCTTCACTTTTATTTACGGACATTCGAGTATCATCCTTGTGCAGGAGCCATGCTGCTAAAGGAGAACGTCAATAGCAAGTGAGAGCCGCGCCGATCGTTTTCGGGGGCAAGACATCAACAAACCACTCGCTGTTTCTTTGGATTTCCACGATCCTCCTATCCTACGTCCGTCTCTCTCCGCTGGAGACTCCGCTTTGCTAAACCTTCGTTTGCGCGTGGCGCCCCCATGTCTGTGGCGATGGCGCTGGGGATGGCTTCCCCCTCTTGTGTATCGTGTTCGCAGGCGGCTGCTTGCACTGCTACTGCTCTTAAAGTTTCCAGACCCGCCGCGTCGGGGGAAGCCCCTCGAACCCCTCCTTTGCACAAGACGCCGTGGTCTTGCAGCTTGATTATTTTGCCGGGGAGGTTTGCCCGCCAGATCTCTCGTAGTGGTAGTGGTAGTGGTAGGTCAAATGGAGGAGACTCTTCTTGCTGCAAATGCGCGCGCTCCCACTTTTCAGAACGCGCGCTTTTTCAAAAAAGAGCAAACGGCGGGAGCCTAAAACGGCGCGGTTCAGCAGGCTACTGTGCTGGACCATTCTTGCTTGGCGCCAACGCCAACCGCAGTGAGAGTCGCCTTCCTCCTCTGGCGTGCGCCGCCGCCTTGGGCTCTCCCGTCAAAGCAGAAGAAGAAGAACAATCGACTAACGTGTCAGAACTGGATGCCGTCTCTGCCTTCAGCGAAATTGTTCCTGACACGGTCATCGCTGATGACTTTGACAAGTTCCCGCTCACTGCGGCAACGGTCAGCTCCGCGTTGTTGACGGGTATCCTAGGTCTCCCTGGGAGTAAATACAAGGGGTGTCTAGACTCCGCTCTGGTGTACGGCAAGTGCATGATGGAGGAGGATGAGAAGAAGAGAATCAGCTGTTTTGTAGAGAAGGCACTGGTGAATGTAGGTGCGGCGTTAGCGAAGGAGGTGTCTGGGCGCGTGTCCACTGACGTCGATGCCAGATTGGCAGATGACAGCCGTGCGATCATCGACAAGGTCAGGAGTATGCTCAAACTGTATGGGGAGATGCAAATTCCGCTAGACAGACTTCTTTTCCGGCTTCCAGCCACGTGGCAGGGAATCGAAGCAGCACGTCAATTAGAAGCGGACGGGATCCAGACACATGTCACGCTCGTGTACAGCTTCGTTCAGGCGGCTGCGTGTGCCGATGCCGGTGTGTCGGTCATTCAGCTATACGTGGGCAGAGCGCGAGATTGGGCGCGAAGCCATGAGGGCGACCCCGAGATTGCCGCCGCGATACAGACCGGGCAGGATCCCGGCGTAGCCCTCGTGACAAGGGCTTACAACTACGTCCACAAGAAGGGGTATAACACCAAGATCATGGCTGCAGCGATCCGGAACAAGCAGGATGTGCTTAGTCTGCTAGGCTGTGACTATCTCATTGTACCGGTGAAGGTTCTGCAGTCTCTGAAGGATGCCCCCGCTGACCTCGACTCTAAGTTTGGCTTTGAGAGAAGATTGTCGCCTTCCGCAGCGCGAGCCACTCAATTTCCGGCGATGGAGAAATTGGATCAAGAGAGCTTTCTCAAACAGCTCGGCCCGTATGCAGAGCAGATGTTGAAACAAGGATTGGAATCGTACTCCAGGGCGTCAGAGCGAGTGGAAGAGAGCCTTGCTCGAATCTGGCCACCTCCCAACATGTAGAGAGAGGCAGGCGGGCGGGCGGCCTTATCGAGTGCATGTGCATGTGTGTGTATGTGTATGTGGTCTTCTTATTGTGAGTGTGTACAGGGAGTCGGAGCATTCTGTGGTGCGTCTTTATGTCTACCATAGAGCAGATCCGAACTGGATTGTAGGGCCGAGAGGGAAAAAGGGGATTGGGGGACGCACAGACAGACAGACAGACAGACACACACACAGAGAGAGAGAGAGAGAGAGAGAGAGAGAGAGAGAGAGAGAGAGAGAGAGAGAGAGAGAGATTCTGTGGTACTTCTGTAAGAGTAGATCCGAACTGGATTGTAGGGCCGAGGGGGAAAAAGAGGAACCGGGGTGTGTGTGTGTGTGTGTGTGTGTGTGTGTGTGTGTGTGTGTGTGTGAGAGAGAGAGAGAGAGAGAGAGAGAGAGAGAGAGAGAGAGGGCATTCTGTGGTGCATCTGTATGTCTAGCATAGAGCAGATTCCAACTGCATTGTAGGGCAGAGAGAGAGAGAGAGAGAGAGAGAGAGAGAGAGAGAGAGAGAGAGAGAGAGAGAGAGAGAGAGANGAGAGAGAGAGAGAGAGAGAGAGAGAGAGAGAGAGAGAGGTGCCAACCCTGGGAGCTGCCATGTGGCAGCATATAGCAGAGAGAGAGAGAGAGAGAGAGAGAGAGAGAGAGAGAGAGAGAGAGAGAGAGAGAGAGAGAGAGAGAGAGAGAGAGGATTCTGTGGTGCATGTGTATGTCTAGCATAAAGCAGATTCCAACTGCATTGTAGGGCAAAGAGAGAGAGAGAGAGAGAGAGAGAGAGAGAGAGAGAGAGAGAGAGAGAGAGAGAGAGAAAGAGAAAGAGAAAGAGAGATGCTTGGCCGTGGGGGTGATGGGTAGATATCATCAGAATTTTTATGTAACTTTCGTGTGTCCATCTCCTTGGGAACAGGAAGGGGTTATTTGTTTTGTGACTGTCGCACTCAGGGAAAAAAGAAAAAAAAGAAAAAAAGGGAAAGAGGGAGCACCGGGCATGTGAATTGATGGTTAATATTTGAGGATGGTGATTTTGGGGAGAAGACAAACGAAAAGAGAAAAAGGAACCAGACAACAATACTGAGGAGAGGGGTCTTCTTCTCAATCGTCCTCTCCTGACACCTGATAGGGTCTTCTTCTCTATCGTCCTCTCCTGACACCTGAATAAGCACCAACGCTCGTCTTCTCTGCCCCATCTTCTCCAATCCTCCTCGCCCGGGTTCCGGCAGCGTACGTGACTTGGTTAGTACTACAGCCTACTCTCCCATCTCGTCGCTCTACCCATCTCGTCGGTCTACCTATCTCGTCCCACAATAAAGCCACCATTCGACCCTTGCTATTCCTTCTCACGATCACGAATCGCTGCGCGTTAAGTGACTAGGTGGGGTTTTTTTCCAGCTTCTTTTTTTTTCATTTCGTTGATCAATCGGACGGTCCACAGCCAACCCTCTTCTTTCGCCTGCCTGCAAGTCGAGATGGCGATGGTGTACACTTCGACATTTGGTGCCGGGATCCCTCTGCCAGTCATTCTCTTTTGCACCTGCATGGCGCCTCCAAACCGCCTCTCCTTCCCTGCATGGCGCCTCCAAACCGCCTCTCCTTCCCTGCATGGCGCCTCCAAACCCCCTCTCCTTCCCTGCATGGCGCCTCCAAACCGCCTCTCCTTCCCGCCTCTCCTTCCCGCCTCTCCTTCCCGCCTCTCCTTCCCGCTTCTCCTTCCCGCCATTAAGTGGAGCATTGATTATTGCACTCCCGATGTGTACGCATCTGGTTCACAGACTTGATTATTAAGTGGAGCATTGATTATTGCACTCCCGATGTGTACGCATCTGGTTCACAGCCTTGATTATTGCACTCCAGATGTGTACGCATCTGGTTCACAGACTGTGGAGGTCATCTTCTTGAACACACGGCGTTATCAAGATTCTTTTACCCTCAATGTTGACATCATCTTCATCGTCGCCTCTTCGGCGGTTCCGACGAATCTTCCACGGATTTCAACCGAGGTTCGGGCGAACACAAACCCGTCCCTAAAAAAAAAAGAAAAAGAAAAAAAAGAAGCGTGATTTGTTGGGGAAATGTAATTTACGAAAAAAAAAAGTGATTGATTGATTGAATACTTGATTGATTGATTGATTACTTGATTGATTGGTAGATTGATTGATTGATTGATTGATTGGTTGGTTGGTTAATTGATTGAAAAAAAAAACATGCGCGTGCGCACGTGTGTGTTTGTGTATATGCACGCGTGCCGCACACACACACACACACACGCAAACACATGCACGCGCACACACACACACACACACACACACACACTCCTTTAGATCGACACGCACAATCTCCTTCAGATCGATTCGATTAGATTTGAATCGATCGAAAAAAGAGAGAGAGAGAGAGAGAGAGAGAGAGAGAGAGAGAGAGAGAGAGAGAGAGAGAGAGTGCGTGAGTGCGGGGACCGGCGACCACCCGCAAACAATCAATCAATCAATCAATCAAAAAGTAAAAAATGTTCACGTGAGTGCGGGGGGTGGTGACCCGTCCCAATCAATCAACACACATACTTGCACACGCGCACACATTTACGCCCGCGCTTTTTGTTTTTTAAAATCAATTAATCAATCAATCAATCAATCCAGGGAAGCTGTCGATTACAGCAACTTGAATTCCCAGCAAAAATGAGAGAAAAAGAATTTGCCCCTTTTTCATTCTTTTGGGTTTTACATTTGTATTTTTTGGTTTTTCATTTTTTAAAAGGAGAAACAAACTTACCAGAGTGGCCCAGGGAACTTGCCCCGCCGGGCCAAAAAAAAAAAAGACTTTTTTTTTTTTTTTTATGGCTTTTTGTCCCCTTCCTACACCAACAGAATTCTTTACACTGCAAGGCAAAAGGGGAGGCCGACAATCCCTCCACAAACAACCCAGAAGACAAGACTGGGACCATTACCCAGATTAGGTGCGCAGGCCGTGGGCTTATTGTCCAGGGACAGAATGGCCAAATCTAGACTGACAGAATGGCCAAATCTAGACTGCTGCCCTGTCTTGCCACAACCGTGGAAAAAAGGTAACTCGACAAGGCTGAAAACCACACACTCACCAACTGGCCTAGTTCAGTTGGTATACCCCTGAACTGTTGAAATACAGACCCGAGTTTGAACTCCGCCGGAAGAAGATGACTGAAATAGGGCGTCGTTAGACACTCTTTGTGGACGTGAAATCCACATCCACAAGGATGCACTCGTTCCACCTGTCCTTGGGGATGAATTGGAAAAGAAAAGTGAAAATGCCATGAGGAAAATTCCTTGTGGCGTCCTTGTGGCCCCAGCCAAACTTTACTTATCCCCAAGGGACCTCACCAGGTCCTTTTGGAGCTCAAGGAACCGCCATTCATGGAGTGGCGAAGACATGCGCCGATGGAGAGTTTCGGTTTTTCTGGTGGTTGAGACAGGCGCCGATGGAGAGTTTCGGTTTTTCTGGTGGTCGAAACGTGATCGGATGGTGTTAGCACGGACATCCTCACCGTGCAATGTCTGCGTAGTACCCCCATGGGCGCCAACGATGACGCTTGGCCTCTGATGGGTGGTGTCGTCATCTTCGGATGGCGTCATGCGGTTTCCCGCACTCAAGAAACATCCGCAACGGCTGAGAAATTTGAATATTTTTTTCCAGCGGCGCCTTCAGTCCGTCGATGGCTGAGGTTTTTGTACGAGCATCGTATTCAATCACATGTCATCACGTGGTGCACGTCCGACAAGACTCCTGCCTTGGCTGCCCTCTGTGCGGTCGTTTGCTGGACGCCCGACAACAGACGTGGCATTGCTACCCCCTCCACCGTGTCGTTGATGGCTGACATGCACCACAGGCTTCCTCTGCTGCTCCTCGTCATCCTTGGCGTTGTCACATTGCCGAACATGTTCCCATGTTCCCTGTCCTGCGTTTGATCCACCACCTCAGAGTCGCTCATGGAATGATGTCACAGCCAACGCGTAGCACAGTTGAATGACGGCCTCTGAAGTGGTGACATAGTCAGGGTCGTCATTTGCAGCTTGCATCAGCGTCCTTCTCCTACGTGCCCACAGCTGTGACTTCATTGGTCCCAAGGCCCTTTCCTGCTGACAACACAGAACACTGATATACATGGTCCTCTCGTACTAGGGGTGGCTTCTCAGAGTTCTCTTCAAATCACCAACAGTAGATAGGAACGGAAAACTCAACATTGGTCAGCACTGAGTTTGGAAGAAAGATACATCATTAGCCAAGTCATTGAAATGATTGTGGATGCTATTTATTATGAATTGCCTTCTTCTACTGGGCCTCATTAAGCATTGTACAAAGTACAAAATTGGACAAACACAAAATGGTTCGTGACGGGCGAAGCTGAGTGTATAATCGGTGACTTGTTATCACGGTCGACCTCTCCAGCCGTGTCAACAGCGCACACTTGACCTCTCCGCTGCCCTCCATCGCCAACGCTTCGACAGGAATGACGTGTCTCCGCTGACGTCCGCGAGGCTGCCGCCTTTGGGACAATGTCGCTCTTGTCGCAAAACCGTGCTGAACGATGCTCGCAACGTGGCATGTGCCGATGGCGATGGACGGAACCACTGTGCACATTTACACACATCGCAGTGCTGCTCAGGAGGGGACGCCACTGCAAAGCCCGATTCACATGTGCCTCGTCTTCGCACTGCTTGCCGATCGTTGTGCTCGTTACCACGACCATACATCATGTTTTGAATTTCAAATGTGGAGGTTGCCTATTTTTTATTTCCTTTTTCATTGCCTGGCCCTGCCCTTTCCCGCCAAATGCCGCTGAACCTCACCGTCTCCAGACGGACACAGGACACTGGACCACGGACACCCCTCATCACGGCCGCATATAAACGTATGAAACGGCCACGACCAGGGCACAAGGAAACGTCCGCGGGGGATGTTCCTGAGGATATGTGGAATGTGGCCATAAAAATCTCCTTAAAACCTACAAGGAAACTGAAAGAAAAAAACTAGAAAGACCACCAAAAAAGAGGCTCTCACGACTAAACAACAGAACAAACCAAAAGGAAAGCCACGTTACCAACTACCCTATCACTACTACTACTTGCCACTGCCTACTTCCTATCACTTCCAATTGCCTACTAAATCCTATACAGACTGAGACTAATCTATCTGCCTATGGGCTCCAAAAACTTCTGCCATTCACCTAATACGGCGCACCATGAAGATTTTTTTTCAAAAAGCTGCCTTCTCCTCATGAGGGGACAGGCATATATTTTTCTCGCACCTCACATATCTCCTGGCGTTCTGCCATGTCATGGAACATATCTTTCTTTTCACTACCTACCAGTACTCCTAAGGCTGTACATGGAACCCCTGCAAGCATAGCTTTCTACCTCTCTTTGGTGAAGGGAGGTTACCTCTCTCGGCAGAGAGGGGTGACAGCATGTTTGCCCTTTTGCCCTAGCGTTTAGGGTGCAGGGTTGGGGCCGACGGAAAGGGTTTCGGCTACCACAAGGACCGAGCATTTGCCAGTAACTGTGCCTCCCTTTTCATCTTCCCCCACCCCCATCGAGTAACATTAGTGTCTAAAGCCAACACTCTCCCACACACCACATGCAACCCACTCACACACGCACTCACACTCGTGTTGGCTGAAGACGACTGGGAGGATGCAGCTGACTATCTCAGTTGGTTGGCACCAAGAGTGCTACAGGTGGCCATGGGAATTGAACCCACAAGCTCCTGAATGCCACTTGCGTGCCTAACCAATTGAACACCTGACGCTGAGGCAAAAGTTATTCAGTTCATTTTTCTGCATCACATTGTTGTTGTTTTTTTGGATTTTTTGGATTTTTTTTGTTTGTTTTTTTCTTGCTGGACCCTTCCGTGGTCCTCACATGGTCGGGCTGCCCGGCCAAACAAGCTGACCAGGGCAGCCTGCCGACCGTCGGGAGACCTTGTCACGACCAGGGCTGACACATAGGCGACGGGTGCAGTCTTGGACCACACGGACCCAGATCGGGCTCCAGGAATTTCGGTAGAAGTCGAGGGCGAGTGCCCACCTGGCAGTGAAGCGCAGGCGCAAAATAGACCTTTCGTCATAGGGAAGGTTTTATTCACCTCGTCCTTCGCGGCTTCTGATCGCGCCTTGAACGAAACTGCTCATGGAGAAAGAGTAGGTACCAAGGGTATTCCGAACCTAGCCCTCTTGCATTCCCCTCCACATGCTCCACTTGATACCATTTTCCCGCGCTTGCTAACCTCATAATCAACATGTTGTCAACCACAACATCTGGTTTGCCCGTCCTTGCAACCACTTCACCTGGTGCGCCTTG